GGTAATCTTCCTGCCTCAGTCTATCAAGTACTGGCATTAAAAGTATGAGTTACTACACTGTGCAGGATTTTAAACATTCACTGCTACATATTTTTTCTTTTTATATCTTTAATCTATGCCCAACAAATTTTCATTTCTGTTCATTTTGCATGATTTTTAACATGTTTTTTTTATTGTCCTTGATACAGTCCCTTTGAATATGTTTAGATATCTAATTGTTAGTGAAAAAATATTTAAGGGATATTGCTTGTCTTTGGAGTCCACATGAAGACTTTATGGGCTATGGATAGATAGAAAATGGTTACTCTAGTCAAATCAGCCATGTATGTTTGTTTTTGTGTATATGAGAAAAGCACCAAAATTCTACCTATTTAAGAAAGTCGACTGCACCATGTAATTTTATTAGCTTTAGTCTTTATGGCTTTCATTGGATCTGCAGATGTACCTTCCCTATAGTAGCTGCTACTTTGCATTTTTTCACTTGTATCTAGCATTCTATAGGAAACTACTTGTGTTTTCCATCATTGATAACCAGTAATATAATAACTGTTTTATATATAATAGCTATAAAACTTTAGATATCAGAGATTTTGGAAAAGCAGTTAAGAATAGAGCTAGATAAAATCATTTGCAACAAATGATTACACTTTATTTACTTTGTATCCCCCCTGTAGTTCCCTCCCTCCTCCCATCCCAATCCCTCCCTTCCTCCACCCTCTGCATGCATGCCCCTCCCCAAGTCCACTGATAGGGGAGGACTTCTTTTCCTTCCTTCTGATCCTAGTCAATTAGGTCTCATCAGGAGTGGCTGCATTGTCTTCTTCTGTGGCCTGGTAATGCTACTTCCCCTTCAGGAGGAGGTGATCAAAGATCAGGCCAAACAGTTCATGTCAGAGACAGTCCCTGTTCCTATTACAATGGAACCCACTTGGATACTGAACTGCCATGGGCTACATCTGTGCATGGGTCAGATTAGGTTATCTCCATGCATAGTCCTTGGTTGGAGTATCAGTCTCAGGAAAGACCCCTGTGCTCAAAAAACCAAAGATTTTTTGGTTCTGTTGCTCTGCTTGTGGAGTTCCTGCCCTCTCCAGGTCTTACTGTTTTCCACTTCTTTCCTAAGATTCCCTGCACTGTGCCCAAAGGTTGCCCTTAAGTCTCAGCATCTGCATTGATAGACTGTAGGGCAGAGCCTTTCAGAGGTCCTCTGTGTCAGGCTCCTGATTTGTTCCCTCTTTTCACTTTCTTCTGATATCCGTCCTCTTTGCCTTTGCTCTTTGGATGGGGATTGAGCATTTTAGCAAGAGTCCTCCCTCTTGATTAGTTTCTTTAGGTGTATAGAATTAACAGGTTTATCTTATATTATATGTCTATATGAGTGAGTATATACTGTGTGCTTCTTTCTGCTTCTGGGATAGCTCACTCAGGATGATATTTTCTAGATCCCACCATTTACCTGTAAATTTCATGATTTCCTTATTTTTTACTGCTAAGTAATATTCCATTGTGTAGATGTACCACAATTCCTGTATCCATTCCTCCACTGAGGGGCATTGTCAGAACAAAACAACTGCCTACAGATTGGAAAAGGATATTCACCAACCCTATATCTGACAAAGGGCTAATATCCAGTATATATAAAGAATTCAAGAACTTAAACAGCAACAAACCAAGTAATCCAATTAAAAAATGGGTACAGAGTTAAACAGAGAATTCTCAATAGAGTAATATCAAATGGCAGAGAAACACTTAAAGAAATGTTCAACCTCCTTAGTCATAAGGGAAATGTAAATCCAAAAGACCTTAAGATTTCATCTTACACCCATCAGAATGGCTAAGCTCAAAAACTGAAGTGACAACACATGCTGGAGATGATATGGAGAAAGGGGAACCCTACTCCATTGCTGGTGGGAATGTAAACTGTACAATCACTCTGGAAAGCAATCTGGCGCTTCCTCAGACAACTAGGAATAGGGCTTCCTCAAGATCCAGCTATACCACTCCTAGGCATATACCCAAAAGAGTCCTAAGTACACAATAAGGACATTTGCTCAACCTTTTTGTAGCAGCCTTATTTGTAATAGCCAGAAGCTGGAAACAGCCCAGGTTTTTTCAAACTATCCCTCATACACATGTTTAATTTCACAGACTTTTGTGTCTATCAAGTTCTTGCAAATTCTAGATATTCTGTCAAATGAAGTTGCTATGAATTTGGCAGGGCATTGGTTCCATGTTAATTGTAATTAAAAATAGCTAAGTTATGGTTCAAACCAAAATCAGTAACTATTGGAGATTAATATTTAAAAAGGATTTTTTTTCAGTAAGGGAAAAGGTTATCAAAATGCTCTCTTAGTAACAGTTAAGAAGGATGTGTTATTGGAAGCATGTCTCAGTTCCTTGCACGTTGAGAGTTTAGAAAATTATAAATATAAGTAGTTCATTATATGAAAAAATATTGGAGAAACATCAATCTGATGTATGTGAAGAATCTCAACATGAATAATTTATCAACAAGACTGTGGGAGAGGCTGCAAATTTGTGAATGATTAGAGCAGACTTCTACTGGAGGACAGGCCTTTGTAGAGTAAATTGACCATGTTTACTTCTGAAAATGAACCCCGTTTAAAAGTTCTATCCACTAAACCCACTGGTATCATATTCTGTTTAGGAGCAATGGGCAGTTACTGCAAGGTCCCAAATCTGAAAACGACACATATTCTTAGAGCTAATTAGCAGTATCCGTTTGACCGCAACAATTATTGCAGTAACATGGGTGGGAAGCAAAACATTTAAATGCCTACTTTTCTTCTATACTGTGTCTTAGTGTTTTCTTACTATCCACAGCACAGAAATGGAATTGAAATTTGTTGGCTGACATTGTTTCACAGGGCAGTCTGCTAGACAACAGCTGTGTGTTTCTCCATCAGCATTCACCTCATCTACTGAGATCACTTTATGAAATTAGGGTTTTCTCTGAAGTCTCATAGCCAGGATCTGAAATCAGTCTCTTGGTGTTCTACTGCACAGTCGGCACAGTACCTAAGATGATAGCAGGAGATTTCCAGACACTCAGAATTCTTGCTGAATAAAAGCTATCTACAGCTAGGTAGCTTTTACTTTCTTTTATTCAATGACTTTATTACCAACAATTCAGTCTGTAAAATATAACGGCTATTTAATGCCATGGGACTGTGCAAACAAGGTTTGTATTTCTCTCGCCTCTTCTCCATTTGTGTCTCATCACACCTTCAGTTTAGGAAACAGAGCATGTGGAGAGCACTGGGAGCTCCGATCAGTCAGTAAACAATTAAGAAGTTGCCCTGATTCATTTCCTGTGCTAACGTGTAACCATGCCACTGATTACCCATTTCCATTGTTTATGGAGAGGCAGGTGGATGAACAGGGCTGCCTGATTTATGAAGTGCTTGCTGTCTATAAATCACAAAGTAGAAACCCAGCATGCTGCTAATCCTAATTGGTTAAGTCCTAAGTAGGGAGTGATTAGAAAGTCTTCAGGTATCTCATGCAAATGAGGGAGATATATAGCTCTTTGGGAGGAAATTCCCTCTGTTCACAATATGCAGCAGAGTCTTTGGTCCATTTCAGCTGTTCCCTCTTGTCTCTTGCTGCTCAGCCCCTGTTGATCACAGAGTTGTTGATAAATTAGAAAGAGGGGATAATTATGGAGAACCATAGGCACAGAAGAAACAGAATCTTGTTTTCTTGCTTGCTCATTTATTAATTTAAATCTGGATTAATTTCTGTTTCCAAGAAACAATTCATCATGAGGAAGGAGAATGAGGAGAGATCCCCAGTGTGATTTGGTAGAATGAAGACTATTACGTATTGGAGTCCTCTCTATATTGACCCAGTTCTACCCTATGCTGGGAGGGAATAGAATGACATTCTTAGACATTTAATGGCAGCCTTCTGGTTGGGACCATATGAAGCTTAACTCATCTTCAGAGTGCTACATATGCTAGGCTGCCTATATCTTTTGGATGGAAATTTACTGATGGACAAAGAAGTGCAGTTTTAGTTTCCAGAGGGGGAAAAAAAAAGTATAAAGATTTTGAATGGTGTTCTATTTACCCTCAGAGGAGGAGTTGAACACAGAAAGGTGTGAACGTAAAAAAAAATATTTAAGGGAAGAACAAGTCTAGCGTTCATAGCACAAAACCTGTATAAGATCAAGCCAGTTAAAATTCCAACACAGATGGAATAGGAACTCATGATACCACAACTTTTTTTACAGCTTTTTTTATTATTAATTACACCTTATTCATTTTGTATCCACCCATTAGCCCCTCCCTCCTCCCCTCCTGATCCCACCCTTCCTTCCCTTTCTGCATGCATGCCCCTCCCCAAGTCCACTGATAGGGGAGGTCTTCCTCTCCTTCTTTCTGATCTTAGACTATCAGTTTTTGTTGAGGAACCACAGGAAGTTGATGACTGCTGCAAGAGGAAGAGTCAATTTTCTCAGTAGTGTGGCCTCTATTAATTTTCCCATTGTTCAGTGGAGAACCCCACACCCATGCACATACAGGCAGCATTAACTGGTCTTAGTGGGTTACTAAGAAAAACAGGATGGGTGGGATGGAGAGGAGCTAACGGAGGGGGTTTTAATTGGTATATATAATGAATAAATTGTAAAAATTATAGGAATAAAATATTATTTATCAAAC